CAAAATTTCAGCTTTCAGGTAAAATAACAGCCGTTAAATACTATTTCTTTAATTTGTATATAATCCAATATAATTAGTAATATATTCTTTATAAATGAAAAATAAGAAAATGATACTTTGAATCTCAAACTTAAGCGATACCAATCATAATAATGAATTACACAATTCTATGTTTCTGCATGTATTTTATTCTTCGCTTAATGTTATTACTGTCTTATATGGATGCTGTAAAACTTAAATCATACAATGGCTATACAAATATTCTGTGTGCTTCCATATTATAGACAGACGTAAACTGATCGGAAATTATATCCTTATTTTGTGTAACATTGTGATATTGTTAACTTGTGCATTTATATATTGCAATTAGAAGAAAGTAATCGAGAGTTAATACTAATTGTAACTGAAAATATTTATGATGGGTCATTCCATGCCAACTCTGGAATGACCATAATACTTGTTTTCTTATATTTCATACCAAAATCTTAAGTGAAAAAAGAATAGTTTAATATTATCAAAACATGTTTAACTGTGTGATAAAGACAGTATAAGCAAATATGGTTCATCTACTTAGATTTAATTTAATTTATTATATGAAAATTACATGAATATCATGTATGTCACTCTATTTCCTAAATACTTATTTTACTATTTCGTGAGGATTAATAAAAAATAAACAGCATCTACTTTTGTGTATATAATATCATTTATAATAATCAACGTACAATACACTCTCTGTTCAAAAATACAAAAATACCGTAATTATAAATTTACATAATATCTCAAATATTATATTACAAATTGCATTGCTCATTGCTTATTAAAATAGTCTAATAAAAATCACTAATTTATCTTGGAGTTTCACATTTTTGATTGTTCGATTTTGTACATGATTTGGGTTAATTATTTAGGAAGTAGTTATTTTGCCGTTTATACCATGTAATTTAATTCAGAAACCTAACGGATTTAATTGAACACATCCACCAGCGTCGCACGTATTCCTCGCAATTTTACTCATTTTACTAAATACATTTAGGTCCTTACTAGAAGAAATTATATTTAGGTTCGAATTCACACGATTGGATGCCTGTAATGCAGTTGATAACATATTAAATTAGGTGACAACATACATTAAAAAACAGTAAAATTAAAGATTTTGAAAAAACATATTCTTACTTCTGCACACCACGTTTGAGCCATAAGGATCTCATGTTCCGCGGTTGGAAGCTTTTTATTTGCAGACATAGTCGCTCTACTTAATATAACAGCCATAGTATACGTATCAAATGCTACTTGTGTTATTCTGTTAAGAATAAATTGTTCATCCACAATTCCTTTTCCATACTTGATGAGAATAGATTCTATAGCTTGACCCAAAGCTTCTAAACCCTATAAAAATAATGAAGTACATAATAGTCAATCGTTAACATATGAACGTAAATGTTGCAAAAATCGATATAAACCTTAGCACACAATGTTGCACCTTCTTGCAACCTTGGCTCAACTAAATGTGTGAAATTAGGCGCCGATCCCAATCCAATCACTCGCGTTGCTCTTTTCGTTGCCTCTTCAAAAATTAATCCTAAATTAGCCGTAGGATTCTTGAATGCTTTTTGTAATTCTTTTAAATGACTTCCCGCATACTGAATCCCGGTAAGTGCGACAAACAGGCGGAGGATATCGTTGGTTCCTTCGAATATTTTGAAGATACGTAAATCTCGCATAACGCGTTCAAGACAAGCATCTCTCATATATCCCATTCCACCTAGTATTTGAATAGCTTCGTCGCAAACCCACCATGCCGATTCTGATGCAAAACACTATTCAAACAGTTTCATATGATATGTAATTTTATCTTAGAAATAACGAGACAGTATTATATGATTTTTACTTTGTTAAATGAATCATACTTTAGAAATTGCAGCTTCTAAGTGATAATCTTGACTTCCATTATCCATATTACCAGAAATAGTGTAAGCAAGAGATTCAGTTATATATTGTAATATCGACATACGAGCTAATTTTTCTTGGATAGTTTGGTAATTATCTATCGTACGTCCGAACTGTACACGCTGCGTTGCATGTTCAACTGCTTTTTTAATACAATAACGCATACTACCGGCAAGAGCAGCTGCCATGCCAAATCGACCATTATTTAAAATACTCATTGCAACCTGAAACAGCACAAAATGTTTCATCATTCTTCTTATGATCTCAAATGTCTGTAGACCATATACCAGACAAGTCATACCTTAAATCCTTGTCCTTCTTCACTCAAAACGTTCTCTGCTGGTATTTTTACATCTTCAAAATATATTTCTGCTGTATTACTACACTTAATGCCCATTTTCTTCTCTGGCGGTCCACTTGTTACACCGCCGAAAGATCGTTCAACAATAAATGCCGTGACTTTATCCTTTGTTTCGCCTGTTTTCGGATCTTTCATAGGAACTTGTGCAAAAACTGTCATTATTTCGGCCAAACCACCATTCGATATCCAGATTTTACTACCATTCAATATATAATGCGATCCATCTGCCGATTTAACCGCGCGAGAACGAACCGAACCCGCATCCGAACCGCAACTTGGTTCTGTGAGACAAAATGCTGCAATATCTCCATTGCAAACTCTTGGAAGATACTTTTCTTTTTGTTCTGGTGTACCAAATAAAAGTATACCCTATAAAAGTTTAATTTTAACAATGAGAATATTTTAATACTTCATATTTTAATATAAATAAGAGGTATAAAAGATATACCTTGAATCCTATACTTTGATGTGCACCCAACGTAATACCAATACCTAAATCATTATATCCACAAATCTCAACACATCTAGCATACTGAGTATTAGATAATCCTAATCCTCCATATTGTTGTGGAACCTGGAGACCAAATACTCCGAGTTCCCACATTGCAGCCATAGTTTTCTCATCTACGGATGCATTCTCATCATTTTTCTGCGCATCGTTTACTTCCTTCAAACAAATATTTAAATAAAATTAGTTTTGTATAGCAATAAAAATAACTAAAGAAAACTTCTTATGTCATAAAGATAGGACTTGCAATTCTTTTTTTTTGTATAATTTTATTACCTCAAAAAACTTTTCCATGGGATCAACTAACATTTTCAATGTGTCTGATTGCTCTTCATTTAAGTGTCCTGGAAAAGGGAATACTTGGCTAGTTTGCAGTTGGCCACGAAAAATATTCATATTAAAGGATTGATTCTCTCTCACAGCATTATTCTTTTCTACATTTTCCACTGATTTATTTTTTGTAGCTGCTTGTGCTGCAAAACACCTGAAAAAGATCATGTCAAAGATAGTTTTTAAAGTATATTATTATTTAGATTAATTTTTGTATTAAATTAAATAATCTTCAATTACATAATTTTCACATCTTGAACTCTGTTTCGTAATTAAAAACACATATACATTCATGTATTCAAATAAAAGGATTCAAATGTACAATTCAGTTTATTTATGATGTCATGAGTCCAAAGTCCACTAAGTTGACAGATATCATACTGACATAAATAAATATCTGATACATGAATAACATCAATGTAGCAATAAAAGTTTCAGTAGTAAACATCTATATATGTAACTCTGTAATAGGTTTTACATTGATATTATAGACAAAGAATTCACTACATATCCTTCACTGTCAATTAAGAAAGAAAAATGTACCTCAATAGATTGCTCAAATGCAATATGGCACTACTCACATGCAATGAAAAATTGCATTTTTAATTTTTGTTAATTTTACACCTCAGACGTCTAGATTTATCAGTATCGATTGAGGATCAAATTTTGTATAAGAATAACGTCGAAAAATGTGTAGCTAGTTTTCAAATACCATTTACAATCAAGCACATTTAAAAGAAACTCACCTAACATTTGAGTCGATGATTTTCTTTAAATTTCGTGATCTCTGCACGACGAAATTTGCAATTCGTAACATTTTTACTTGTTAAAAGACGAAGTGTTTTGAGATTGTTTTCGTGGTATAAAGAACGAAGGGCAGTGATGATCTGCAATAGTGGAAAGTGGAACAAGGTTCGAATCCCACTTCCTCGTATGTAGTATATAAATATAATACTATATACACTACAAAGAGTGCAACTAATTCACAAACAGTTAGCGCCTTTTATATAGTGCTCATATGCACGGATTACTTACGCACACATGTCATACACTGTTCTTTAGATAAACATTAATTATCCAATTGCTCGGCGATACATTTAAATGCACATATACTAAAGTTTGTATATATTGGTATATATCTATATATGTACAGGTTTATACTACGTAGCATTCTTTCGCACGTCAGCTAGAATAATATGACATTTATTATACCCTTAATATCTCAATTTCATTATAATGAACTTACAATAAAATTAAATAATAAGTGTAGGAAATAATAAGACGGTCATGTGTATGTGTGATTATATCAAATTTATCATTTTTTTTATATATTTTATTTAATACTGGTCTTGTGGCGGAACAGAGTCCTACATTACCGACGACGCCCTCTGTCTTACATCGGAGGAAATAAGATATATTTGTTACTAGTAGTTACACCACGCATCAAATTCGACTTACTTACTTCCTGTTCACGTGATAACGTTGTAGCGACACGCTTTGTACTCCTAGAATAATAAATTGTTTTGTTCTGTTAAACCTTCGGAGTTAGTTAATAACCTTTGGCGAAACCAAATAGCCATAGTCTTGGTACCAGTGGCGTCATCGGTGGCAAAATGCTCAAGTTTATAATGAAAGTAGTTCTCACTGTCTCCGCTAGACGGCGCCACTAGGTAAGGATTAATTATTATTGTAACATTAAATAAACTATTGATAAAAATAATAAATTTGACATATTAACTAATATGTTGTAGTGCTATAAAGTACAGAATCGTATTAATCTTACAGACACGATGGAATCTATTTTCACAACAAACTTTGACGTTTTCACACCGATGGCGCCACGGGTAGTAAACCCAATAGTAACCCTATTATTTTGGCTTTGACAGGGATAGTGATTATCGAATCCAATGTGAGGTTATTGTTTTTATCTTTTGTCTGTATTATAATCTATCAAGAACTGAATATTATGATTAGATAGCTAGAATATGGTGACTTTTATTGTGTGGTTGGAGTTGTCGCATCGTCTTACAAGAATTCGGAGAAATGATTCATTCGATAGACAAAATTTTTCTGTTTGTTGTCTTCTTGCTAAATTGATTCGATACGAGAAACCGGCTTTATTTTGCGAACTAATTCGCGCACGAAAATGCACTCCAAGAATGAATATCGAAGGTCAATCGACGAATACAAACCTGCTATACCCATAAGAAGAAAGATAGGCCTCTATTGGATTTTGGCTTCTTTAAGAATTATTTTGACATTAATCCCACAAACAGGGTACATTCATCCTGATGAGTATTTTCAGTCGATTGAAGTTATATCAGGTGGGTAAAGACTTGATGTTATGCAAATAAAAATGATACATCATAACAATCTATAACCCTACAGGTGATTATTTTGATATCGACATTAGTAAACCATGGGAATTTAATTCTACATTTCCTGTAAGAACTGTTTTGATACCACAGATCATTGTTGGTGTACCATACTCAATTTTAACAAGAATTTCACAATATACACGTTTCTACTTTGGTATATCATTGAAATCTCCATACTTTCTTGTATTATTTCCACGTCTGTTAGTATGCATCTTGTCCTTTGTATCAGATTACTGTTTGTACAGAATATGTTACATGTATGGACAAAATTATAAAATAAGACTGATCACATATGCCAGTTCCTATGTTATGCTTGTTTATGCAACTAGGACATTTTCGAATGCTATTGAGTTAATACTAATGGCTTTGCTACTGTATTATATATCGTATTGTATGGCATATTCAGAGAAGGTATAAATACTCTGTTGTAAATATGTATTAGGTTATCAAAATCTGATAATGTAATGTATATTTATCTTTTCAGGTAGTAATCCAAAGTGATTATCTTAAAGATAAATATAATAAAGCAAAAAATGGAGTGGAAAGAGTAAAATATTATAAGCTTAAAGCTTCTTTACCCTCACATTCTTTGAATCATTGCTTTAAAATTGCAACAATTACTGTGATTGGTATATTTAACAGACCAACATTCATTGCATTTGCCCTTTCCCCTATCTTCTTTTGGTTACAAAGAGGTTTAGGATCAAAAAGTGTAGGTTTTGGTGATTTTCACATTCGAATCTTTACTTTTATCGCGTATGGAATACCGACGGCTATCATGTTTATTCTAGTCGACAGCTTTTATTTTGGTTATTTAACAATGGCAGAGATAGGTAATCTTGACATTAGCATCAACAATTTTGTAGTAACACCGCTCAATTTTTTCAAATACAATGCAAACACCAAAAACCTACAGAATCATGGTTTGCATCCCTATTATGTACATTTCTTAATAAATGTACCTCTTTTATACAACGTTCTCGGAGTTATTGGCCTCCTGACATTTGCGAAAATGTTATATAGGTGATCAATTTATTAATATTATTTATTATATTTTAAGAAATTAAAATATAAAATTTTTAACTAAAGATAATTATTTACAGCGGTTTGAAAGCTCGATGGTTGGATTTACCGCGTATACAAAGCGTTGTCGGTTTGATGACACTATCTTTTATTGTACCAATCGCATTGCTATCGATTTTTCCTCATCAAGAACCTCGATTTATAATCCCGACTTTATTACCTCTAGTTTTTTTGTACGCTCCGAATATGAATCAAATATCAGGAGTTGATACAGTTTCGCGTATCACCGAAAATAATACGTACCCCAAAACTTGTACGCAAAAGACTAAACTCAGTAAACTGCAGATTTTTTGGTTCGCGTGTAACGCTTTGCTAGCATTTTTTTATGGGTTCGCTCATCAAGGTGGAATTTTACCTTTAACGTCTCATATAGCAACTGAATTGAAAGCAAAACCAGAGCTCACGCATATACATTTATTTACATCGCATAGTTATTCTGTACCAACGGCGCTTTTGCATTTAAGAAATACTAAAAGGACATACATAAGTACCGGAAATCACAAGTATAAGTTAGTTAAAGATTTCTATCTCTACGAACAAGGTTCAAAGCCTATAAGAGATGTGTGTAACATCATTGCCTTAAAACTTCGGGAATGCGAGCATAAGTATTTCACCAGAAGGGTGCCATATAGGATATATTATGCTTTTCCTGCTACAGATATGGAAGAGTTTATGTCTATTCAAAATAATACAAATTTATTTAATTATCATATTGTAAATAAATTTTATCCACATGTAACCGTTGAGAAATTGCCATTCCCAAAAGTTATTAACGTTCTGCGTTTGACAAATATGAATAGTTTGTCGGTACAAACATTTATAGGGGTTAAGAACGACGTAATCGACACTTTTCAACAATTCGAATTGTTATTATTACGAATAGAATATTTCATACATAACAAATGGCAAGGTGTACATCGCGAACGAAATACAAATTTTTAATTAAATTATTTATTTGTACAGAATAAAATTAAGATATATGTATTTATTATCGATCATCGCTATACTTGTTACATTTATTAATTAATAAAATAAAAAATAAAATGCTGTAATATTTGTAATCTTCAATAAAGCAACAACTTTATTCCTACGAAATATGAAACTTGAGATCAAATTAATGTTCATAAATACGTCCATATGTTACAGATATGGACATAAAAACTTTCCTATGCGCAGTTTTGAAACAAAAATAGTTTCAAACATCGATGACTGCGATATAAGTAATTTTGAAAAAGTAAAATTCATTTATGGGCACTGAATTCCAATCTACATTTTCGTTAATGATTTAATAGTCACTATCCTATATAAAAAAATAGAATGAGTCACTATGTTTAGTTTAGCAAAATACACTGTTAATAAACAAAAATATTGTGTATACTTAAAATTAATTTACAAGTAATTTGATTAATAAAATTAAAAGATTTATACATGTACTATTTACTCAAGAAGGTCAATGATTTTAATATAATTAGTCTTGTGCTAGTAAGCGAATCTTTGTAAATATAAATTGTTGAAAAGTTTTCAATTTATCTAACCATAAAGTAAGCGTATAACAAATATTGAAACTAATGATACTTCTATTGTATAAATCATTTACAAATATTCGAAAATACATACAGTATTAATGACATAATTTATTATTACATATTTGCACTTCGATCCTCACTGTATGTCCATGGTAATTCTTCGTTAAATTTACTCTGATGCGCGGCGTTACGTGCAGCGAATAATCGCTAAAAGATAATTTACAAGACAAATCAAAATAGATATCTCGTCTAAATTTTGTTCAACTCGATAATTATTTATACGTATTAAAATGAGAACTTACCGGATTATCTATGTATGCCTCACACCTGTAGCACCAAACTGAAATATCGCTGAAACTCAGAGTCAAAGGGTGATCCATTTCCTCTGCGTGTAATATACCATGTTGATTAATTTGCCGCGCACAATGTACAGTGTAACATTGCAGGCAGATCCAGTTTTCAACGTTGCTGCCGCATTCTTGGCATGGTGAATGCACATCGATTCCCGAAGCAGGTACATCCCTGACTGTGTTCAAATGTGGACATTCTCGTAGAGGCACCACAGCAAACATCTCTTCATCTACTAATGCCTATAAAGGTTATGTTGAATTCTCAGTTTAACGGCAGTTCAGTCGTCTTGAATCGACTTAATTTAAAAGCTATTACTGATTCAATTACCTGAAAATTTTGAGAAAGGTAATCGTACAAGTTTGTAGCAGCACCTTCTTGAGCGGTTGCTCCTTCATTCTGTCCATTACTGCTACCCGGAATAGAGACGTCAAAATTCTTGTCGGAAGATGCTTCTTTTCCGGGTTGATTTACACATTTCTTTGTATATTCGGAAACTTTGTCGTTATCCTGCATGTTCAATAATTTATTGCGAGCTTCTTCAATCGCCTTTGAAGTATCGTCGTATGATGAGTTCTTTATTTTTATATTCTCCACCTCGTTTTGCAACTTTGAAATTTCTTCATCTGTCACGGAATTTAAAGAAGTCTTATTGATCGAAATTTTCAACTCCAATTTCTCGCTTTCAATTTCTTCCAGCGCTATCTTAGATTCAGACTGTTTAAAAACTTTTTCGATATTTTTCACTTGTTCATTTGTTTTCGTATGTGATATTTTAGCCTTGGGAAGTACATTCTCTTTCGGTAGAGACATGTTAAATATTAAATTGGGCCAATATTGCTTCTGTGTTTTTATAACATTGTTTATACTATTAATAGCACTTGAGCATGGAATTTGATCGCTTTCTAACATTGGCAAAGGATCGCCAAGCAAAGTTTTCGTACAAATAGCCATTGCATTTGATATCGAATTAATATTGTAGCCTCCTTCGAGACTGAGGATAACGCGGCCATTAGCTAACGAAGATAACCATTGCGTTAAATGTCCATACATCTCTGGCGTTACTAGACAACCTGGAAAATCAAAACCATAATATTTGAACAACGTAAACTTTAATCTACGAAACTTATAAAATCAATTTGTTACCTCCAAGAGGATCGCCAATGCACGCATCGAAACCCGCAGAGACTAAAATCAGTTCTGGGTTAAACTGATATGCAATTGGCATTACTACTTGTTGAAATGCTGCTATATACTCTGCGTCACCCATTCCTTTCTATCACATACATACAAATAAAATATGTTAAAAATCAATTTTATTCGTATTAGTCTTTTGCATATTCACCAGAACTGACTTTGTTCCATGGTATATTGATATTAAATCCTTCTCCTAATCCAGAACCAACGGAGGTATAATTAGCACGTTTAGAATTTGGAAAGAAACTGCCGTTGTCGTAACGATGAACGGACATGTAGAGAACTTTTGGGTCCTCTTCGAAGATAGATTGGGTTCCATTGCCGTGGTGTACATCCCAGTCAACTATTAATACTCTGAAAGTCGCGACATGTTATCTTTATTGCAAGCGTGTATAGTTAAGAATAGATCGAAGAAATGGCAATTACTTTTTTAAATGATGAAATTCTGTGGCATATCTAGCTGCCACGGCAATATTGTTAAAAATACAGAAACCACATGGTGCATCCTCTTCTGCATGATGTCCTGGAGGTCTTACAATAGCGACACCAGATTGACTTTCTCCGTTTAGTACGCTATCAACTACTTGTAATAACGATCCAGTCGATATACATGCACTCGTCCAAGTTTCAGGATGTAGATACACTGAGTTAAAGGTCGTTGCTAGTTTTTGCAGCTCCTTGGGTTTTAAATTTTCAGTATCCTTTATTTTGTCTATGTATTCTTTCGAATGAGCCAACAACAATTCTTCGATTGACGCACTTCGTCCCTTTATAAAAACCAGTAAGAAAAACGTAATATTTCGGACAAAAGTATACAGGTTAATATTTCATATAATGCAATGCCATACCTGTTGCACATAGCATCGATCAAGTAAATTATATTCTTCATACTTTTTGTAAATACCGCTAATACGATTTGGTTTTTCTGGATGACTATCGTCAATTAAATCACGATGGTTTAGCATTCTATCATCGTAAACAACGCAGACCTTGTTCGGTGCCATGGATAAATTAGTAACTAAAACAAAATGCTAATATTTATGTAACCGTTTATTTCGTAAGATAAATAATATTGAGGTAGAAACATACTTTGGATTATCGCATTTAATTGCTTTTCTATCTGTTCGATAACATCTTTACTTTGAACTGGATAGCAATCGCGAGTTTCATACACTGTTGGCCTAATATCGCTTCCTCTATAAAATACAAGTTATACGTTTATGCAATTAAAATTAAAATTTTCGCCAAAGATTATTTAATTTCTTACTTGAATGTAACTACTGGTAAATGTTGATTTATATTTTGTTCTTTATTATGTGCTGTAAAATTATTGCTGTATGTGTCCTGGTATTGATAACATTTCCAATACAATTTATGGGCGTAAATCGTATTTAAAATTGTGTCGCGTATACTGAAATAGTAATAAATATATATACATCAATTTTTCAAGTTTCTTATATTATATCCTCGAGCTTACCTTAACGAAGGTAATTCAAGATTTTGTAACATAGGACACGGATCACCCAATAAAGCGCGTAGCGTTAATGCTGCGCTTTCAGCTAATGATTTCAAACAGTAACCACCCTACAAACAAAGATATGCTGTAAATAACATATTTAGAAAATTATAAATCAATCGTGCTTAAGGTACCTTTCATACCTCTAGCACAACAGCAACTTTTCCAGATGCCAGACTCAGTAGAGATGATAGCAAATGAGCATAACATGGAGGGGTCACCAACATCTCTCCCTTAATATTATAAATAATGCAAAGGTTAAACTTTAATTGTGCATAACCTCAAAATAAGATGCAATTACAGAGTATTAAAAAATGTAATAACAATTTTGAAACTAAAAAAATTGATATATGCAACAAAAAACATTGCAACATTAACCTTTTCATCTCCAATTGAGGAATCAAAACCAGCCGAAACAATAACAAAATCTGGATTAAACTAGGACAAAAAAAGATATTAATGAATACTATTTATTATTTTACCTCTGGACATCCCAAGGCAGCGTCATAACCAGCTGACACTATTACGAGATCTGGTTGAAACTATAATATTTCAAATTTATCTATTTTACGTCAGACGTCCAAATCGCTAGACCGAATTTTATATCGATTTAATAAGATGAACTACCACGGTATGCTATTTACCTCGTACGCCATTGGCAATAACACTTGCTGAAATATGGCTAAATAATCAGCATTCGTCATACCAGTTTTATTAAGTGGTACATTAAAGTTATATCCTTGTCCTAAATCATCGCCGATAAAATGAAAGTTAGACTCTTTAAGATTTGGCCAAAATTCGCCGTTCTCGTAACGATGAATGGAAAAATAAATTACCCTAGTAAAAAAATTGTATGTGAAGGAAATACTTATTATGAAAAACGTTGTAAGTTAATCATAAATGTAACACCATACCGTGGATCGTTATAAAACATTTGTTGAGTTGCTTGCCCATGATGTACATCCCAATCAACAATCAAAATCTTATTAGCCAAATTATTGCTTAAAGCTTTCTCAGCTGCAATTGCAACATTATTAAAGAAGCAATATCCACAATACTCTGACTTCATTGCATGATGTCCAGGTGGCCTAAAATGAAATATCAAAACAAAAATGAATTACTTCCTGTTTATAAATCAATCATTAAATTATATTACCTTATAATGGCCATTCCATTTTGAACCTCTCCTTTACAAATGCTTTCCACTAAGTTTATTGTTGAACCCACAGCTAACAAGGACAAGTTATAGGTAGACTAGAGCAGTTTTAAACAATTTAGTATTAAAATAATATACTATCACCTTATAATTTATTTTGTATTTTATAAATATTTACATACAGGGTGTATATAAACTGCATCATACTTGGATGATAGTAACTCTAGATTATCTGCATCTGTACATCCATCAGTGGCCTTTAAGATATCTAATTGTTTTTGGCTGTGCTTCAGGAGTACTTCATTTTCAGTAGCCTGTCTTGATGCAATGAATTTGCACCTATTTACTAAACCTAATTCTTCACATCTCTGTAAAACTCTTGTCAATCTAGCAGGACATTCTGGGTAATTTGAATCCCAAAGACACTTGTGTTCTGCCATAGACCGATCGAATACTAGACCAGTTTCTTTCCTCTTTAGATTATAGGCATCTATGGCTTTCTGATATATATCACGTACAAAGACAGTATTACATTTCTTTTTCTGTAATTTATTTTGTTGAGTTGCTTCACGCTTAGCAGCTATTAAAGCAGCAGATGGTCGAACCTAATATTATACATGATAGAAATATAAATATTTTATTGTTAGTGATCCTATTTAAAATGTACACTTACACTAGAAGTTTTTGCAGACTTTTTGGCACCCTTTTTGACTGACATAGACATTTTACTAGTAATACTTTTGTTATTTGTACTCTTTGAATTTTCTATTACCTTTATGAGCTGAATTTCACTATCTGCTAATTGTTTAGCAGCGGCGAATAAATTTCCACTTATCACAGAATCGGACTATAAAACAAATTACACAATATAAATGTTACATATGTGTATTTTTTATAATAAGAATTGATTTATTGAGATTGGTGTCTCTTCAAATATAATTGGTATTTCTAATCACATTTTCAATGCCACTATTCATAAATAAAAAGAAATATAATACGATTACAGAAGTGTCTTTATTTCTGAGTGAAAAACGAAATTTGTCGCGGAAAAGATGAACTGTTGACAAGTAATATGACGATGCGATACGAGACGAGACATATCCATGTATAGATATCAGTAACCCCTTCCACTTCGAAATGTATTGTCGCACATAAGACTGACAGTAATAAAAATGATCATATTCAAACACCAAGAGTGGATACGAACGCGAGTGATTAATAAACTTAATTCTTACCATTTGCATTTAATCTTGAGATAACCTCGAACTTAGCAACTTCACCTATTTTTAAAGACGAATCATATTTTTTAGGAAAGATCGAACTTCGTCAGCCTAATATAGAGAATTTTTATACGTAAACCCTTAGAAAAACGCAGTCATCGTAGCGGTCTTATTCATTGTACACTTTCAATTTTGTTTTCACTCCATTTCAACAAAAGGCTGACAGTATCTGCCACAGAAATCTCGATTCGACGAAACTGGACGAAACCGAGATCTCGCAATGCGAGACAAGATTGGAATTTTGTTAGGTCTGTCTTTACAAATTCGAATGTTTCAAGCAGCATACATTGGCATAAACATTTCGAGTCGTATGAACAGAACCGGCCTAAGAGTTACTAATGCCCCGATGCAGTTTCTAATTTAGGCGCCCCCCTCTTTTTAAACATTTACTTTTCTTCCATTCAAACTAGAAAACTTGATTTTGAAAGCTTGATGATTTCAGCATAAAACACCAGACTACTCCTTCAAGGTTGTAATAATATAAAATTGGACTGATAAGAATGGAAGATATTTCTGTGAATAGTAGAAATAGAAAAAGGTTTAAACAAACAAACAAAGAGATAGAATAATTGATTAAAATTTATCAGTTGTGCCATCTTGCAGAAACGGTGAGAACTATTTTCACTACAAACTTGGCCGTTCTACCACCGATGACGCCACTATCATTTTTTTTTTTTAGATTCATGCGTTCAATTTTAAAATGATTTAACGTAGCATCCAATAAGAATCATTATCTTAAAAACTTCTTAAATTTGTTGTACTCTTTAACGTTCATAACTATGCATCACTTATGCATACATGTATTAAACATATTCCCCTCATTTTTTGTCTAATCAATCTTTATTTTGAATGCACTATAATATCACGTTATTGTATTACATTACAATTATTTATATTCCTACCTTTCATTATGGTATTGTACATAAATAAAACAATAGTGTATTAAGGTCTTATTTCGTTACTAAATACTTCCCCGTACTTCCATGACGTATTGTTGATCAAATGTCAAGTAAAGAAGATCTAATTTTCATTATACCCACGTAAATTTTGTTCGAGTATGGCTCTTATAGAACTCGGTACATAAATTACGCCGTATTTAGTGCATAAAATCGTCGTCCGCGTCGGGAAGGTGACGCATACATCGAGGAAGCTTGCTTCTACTGTAATTTGGTACGCGTTAAGATGATATACATGCAATTTAGGAACACGACGATGACGCAGTGTATATATACTCTAATCATCTTAGTACCGATGTTCGTTTGTATACAAGGCATCGGGAAACTTTAAAACCATTTAATACCCGCTTGGACGCCGAACGAACAACATGTATCGAACAATTACAGCGACTTTTGTACTAGGTCTCCTGGCTTTGAGTATATCACCGATATGCCAAGCTTTCGAGATCATCGATTGCGGTAAGTTTCGACTTTTCTACAATTAAATAGTCTTATAATATTTTTGTAGTATTTCAAGTTCTTCGCCAGCATTGTTTATACTTTGAATTTGTTAACCTCCACGATACATTGTGTTTACGAATTAACCAGTGGCGTATCTAGCAATTTTAAACCCTTGTGCGTTTATATTTTCTGAGGCCCTTTTAGAAGAAAGTTAATTCTATCTTAATCTTAAGAACTATTAAAGTAAACGTGATACTTTTTAATTTTTGAAGGAAAGTAATAACCAGAGATTGTTGAAACGATTTTTCTTCGATAGAATTAAATTGTAAGATTTTCTAACGAGACGATTAAGGTACTTACAGATCTTACATTATATGTAACAAATATAATATCTCTTTTACAAAGTCTTAATTATGCCACAGAATTCGTGTTCTAATTTATCCTCACGCAAGAACTAAATGTAAACACAAGGTTAAATTACACATTTCGTATACGGTATGAGTAAGAGAAGAAAAAGCGTGGCTTAGAATTGTAATAATAGTTAAATGTTATCGAATGTTTAAAAAAAAATACGATTATTACGTAAATTATTATAATATTACAATTACATTATTTTTGTTCCTGTTATTTTGTTGTGTAGTTACAACTTTTATTTTCCTAATCCAATTATTCGAATAAGTTTATTTCCCTATTATTTCGAATAATCGACGTTTTATCGTAATCATGCTCAATTTCGAAAGAAACATTTCTTGGAGACTAAAATTACTGATGTAATAAAAATTCTAATGAATATAATTTACCCGTCATTTCCACTTTCGTATATAATTTCATGTAAACACAATACGGCATTGAACAAGTCTGTTTTCTTTGTTAGGGGACACGCTTTGTCAAATATTAATACATCATATCGCTTGAATAACAGACAACAGATAATTTAATATACATATGTGTACGCGCAATCTCAATTGATAACTGAAATGAATTTGCCGTATTAATTATCCTGAGATATTTTAAACAATTCAGAATGTATTTATGTCGATTTGAGATTATTAATTTGTCCTTATTTTTATAGAATTTATTGATTTATCATATTTATACTTTTGTTTCCAAAAATTACGAAAATTTGGATAAAGAGAATTCAGAGATTCCAGAGAATCGCAATAAATAATTTTTTAAATTCCAGTTGAAAAACGTATTTGAATTTTAATATTTAAATCATTATTAATCGAAATTTGCGTATTTACAACAGACGATTAATTCTATTCGGAGTGGGTTGTGGGTGGAGGGGGGAATCGATAAATTTAATTGGCATAAATAAAGAATGTAAAAATAAAAATTGTCCTAATTCTGGTAGTAGTTAATTCTTCAAATACAAGTATACTTGGTACCAATTTTCTTTTAATCCATGTGGCAAGTATCTTATCTAATAAAATGATACTTAATTATTGATTGAATAGTGTGTAATTGATCTAATGGTATGTGGTTGCAATGATAGTAGAGGAAATTCCTGTCCCCAGGAAAATATACCAAGTCATGACATTTGCTATTCACTGATTCTTATGTCAGTGTGAATATCCTTTTATGTAAGAGGTACAAATGAGAATTGTTTTTTATATGGTTTGTTTACAGTCGACATTTTTGTTATTCACAATAATGAAACCGTTGTGAGCTGCATTTATTGGCTGCTGACAAATATTCAGTTAATTCAATCAACATAATGCTAATAGAATTATCCTTGACTTTTACATCTGAATAAGAAATTGAGTAATATATGTTTCACAAGTTTTTTTTTTATATACAGGGTCCAAGGTAGGAAAGTTTACATCTGTAACTTTAGCAGGTTGTGATATGACCAAACCTGTATGTGACTTGGTGCGGAATACAAATGCATCAATTCACATAGAATTTACACTTGGTTGGTATATTTCGTTATTAAACATTTTCAATTATGTATTTGTAGTCATCTTGACAATTGAAATATAAAAAATGACCGGTTTACAGATAAAGATGTTAAAGAAGTTTATGCGGTTGTACGTGGTATTATAATGGATATACCTATGCCTTTTCCATTATCAAATGCAGATGCTTGCAAACACTCCGATTCGGGCATCATATGTCCTCTCGCTAAGGATCAAACGTATCACTATATGAACACATTACCGGTCCTAAAATCTTATCCTGCGGTATTTAAAATTATTATTAATTTTTATTAGTTAAATTAGGTATTAAGTCTACATTTATAATTTTTATTAATAAATTTTAGTTATCCGTTACCGTAAGATGGGAGCTCCGAGACGAAAACAACGAAGACATAGTTTGTATTCTGATTCCAGCAAAAATTAAATAGGTATTGTTAATTCAATTTATTGTAATATCATGTTTAAGAAAATGTGTATTATGGAAAAATGATATGAAAGAAATACAAAACTTTTACAACTGTAAAACTTGGTTCATCCTGTTCCTTAAAAAAGTTAAATTGTTTTAATACAACAAATATACTAAAATTTTGTATAAGTTTTGGCAGAAATAAATATAGGACATTATGCTGTGGCAATAAATAATGAAGAGCTGAAAAATATTATCTATATTTCCTTAGCAAGTATGTAACAAGTTATAAACAACTTAAATGCTGAATAAATAAAAAATAGTATTATTATTCATATCGCGTACGTTTAAAAATTTTTTTACAGTTTATTGATTATTATAAGTGTGTATTGTAGTCTAAAATTTAGACGGCTTCAAAAGCTATGTCATGTTTATCTAGATAAACAATTTGTTTAGCTAATACGTATACGAAGATGTTTCGATAAATTTTCGATTCTTATATATCATATTAGCAATTGGATTTGATTTTACAATATACCTATGTCTAGGTATTTTTTAGAACATGACGACGTATAGCGTGCTACTCTTCGTCAAGTCTATCTCTTTTTTACCTAGTCTAGGATAAGTCTTTTGGTAGCTTTAACATTTTCACAATTAACATCAACTGTCCATTTCATCGCATCTATCTTCCACTCGTTCTGTATCCATTTGGTGAATAGTCCTTTTAGTTCTTTGTCTCACTGAACTTTGTTGTCCATTTTTTAAAGTCTTTTGTGCTTGGTATATAGGTTCATATTCTTTTAATTGTGCTATGAAACCCTCGTTAGGATTTATACAAAATCGTCTTTGTTGAACCATTGCGTACGCACGTCTGAAAAATATTTCATGTTTCAGTATTTTTTGTTTTTTCTTATGAACTAGATACTGTACTGCTTTTTATAAAACAAAAATTTACATTTGGGAGAGTCCGTATGTTTCCATAACATACGCTAAAACTAATGCCGCGGATCTCGATATACCAGCATTGCCGTGTACCAAGACTTGACCACCAGAATTTAAACCGTCGTCGATAAACGTTTTAACTTTTTGAAAATGTTGAATGATGTTTTCTGTTGCTGTGTCGGCGATATTCAAAACAAGATACCTGCAACACGACTTCTTAGTATAGGTTGCACGAAAAAAATTAAATTTGACCTAGGCAAAACGATTAGAGAATGGTTGCTATGCTTATTATCGTTTTATCCAGGATCTAGTAATAACTTATAAATTTTATACTTGAATTTGTCGGGAAAGTTAGGCTTTATGAAATTTGCTTCTATATCCTGCCTAACACAGACTATATGAGTTATGCCATGTTCTAATAAAGATTGCAGTTTCGACCGACTAGCTGCACTGTACGGACCAAGGTATAATCCAGGTACCACCTCCTAATATAAGGTAATCATGAATTTAAGAGATATTCTTTTGATAAATGTACATCCGATGTACCTGCATGTGTCTTCTCATTGTATAAGTCCATTCTTTCGGTTCACCCATAGTGATAGGTATTCTTGGATAATCGTCCGATCCATTCTCGCTGGCAGTTTCCTAAAAAATAATCTTTTTATTCTAGTTTCCTTTGACGCGGCGTAAACACGGGACAGTTTATGGCAAACAAACCATATAATACGCGAATGTAATATATAATACTATTTGATTCGAACAGTCTAAAGTGGTTTTATGAAAATCAAGAATATAAACGTTAACGTGTAGACGAGTGTCTTTAAAAATACAAAAGATATGTCACAGTGACAAACACAAGATAACCTAAATTACTTGAAGGATGTACTGCTTATGACACTTTAGGATAGACAGGATAGGCGTACCTCATCTTGGTGAGTTTCATTACTGTCTAGAGACAGCATACCACTAATTTCTCACACTTGAACGTGCGTGATCGTCGAATTTATACGATAAAATAGGAAATAAAGATACTCTTTTTGCCGCGATCACGATATTGTTTTTTAATGCCTCGGCCATTTGCAATATAGGAAGTTATTAGGGCGCTCTCTGTTGCCATACACGTCGCAACCTTTTCTATAAACTGCAAAAAAGACTATGGATAATTTACCGACATTTTTCAGTGGTGCTCTCTAGTGGCGAGAGACTTGATGGTAATGTGCCGACAGGTCGGTAAAAAAAACACTGTAAACAGTGCCATCTAGAATTGAAAACAGGAACTAAACGAGGACAAACTTGAGCGTTTTCCTGATAGAGGCCCTAATCAAACTCCGAAAATTAGTTCGACCCTCTCACCTCTAGGTGGCTACTGGTTCGAAAAAATATTATTTAGTTAATTTATATTATACAACGTAGTTATTTAACATAATACGTGCACGTAAGACTACACGAATGTTCAAACAATATTTCTATTAATTTAGTTCGTGTAGTTTCACTTTAGAACTGTAGTTGTTACACATAACAGGCGACCCGTGCACCTCTGAGGAGAAATGTTGCACGCGTAGTCGAGCGATGCAATTTAGTTACGAACTGTTTAATACGAGATTTTACGAGGCACTGATTCCTCAGGTTGCGGTAACCGTCGGCGCGTATTTTCTTCCGGGATGTAATACGCTTTTCTATACCTATCGCTACGCTTTCGCGATGAAAGTCCATGCATGCTAGGCCTTCCGATGAACGTGCTTCCGTAGAAAATGAGAATTATACGCGAGCTATTACGTTAATCTTGATCGACATCGCGTGCAGATCTTCACTTTTCTCGACTTATCATTATTGCGTAACGTGCCTTCTGCGAAATTATCATATCGAATTAACGAACGGGTCTCGTGCCCCGATGTGTTCCAATCTAACGCGGTGAGTCATGTTCACTCGACAGGTGTACCATTGCGAAGGTGTTTCGAGCCCCGCTTAATTATTTGTTTCTATTTTATTGCACGAGCTAGCATCATGCGCGACAAACATTATCGAGGAAAACAGTGATCCGATGTGTCCAACTGTGATCTGATTTAGTAATTCACAGACGTATATTTTTATTTCGATTTTGTTCGAGTACCTAAATGGCTGGCGCAAGTTGGGACTGCCTCTGGATCAGGTGCGTCATCCGAGAAGCGTCGATTCCAAGTTTGTCGCTCTCAAAGTCATTGCCCGGGGCTCTGGTACAACGAGATGAAATAATGTTGCACCAGTCCTTAAGCAAATGTCCCTCCACGTCCAACCGACCGTTACCTTTGCTTAATAATCAGTGGGGATGAGTAGGGATTCGCCAGATTAATTTAACCTTGGTCTTCTTAGGAGTAGTCCCATTCTATGGATGCCTGTCGTTCCTCTCTAGGGTACGTCAATGTTGCGTTTAGTCGCTTGCGGAATAAGGTCGAAAGACCCTCTAATTGGCTCCGGAAAGTAGCAGTCAGGATGGATTGGAAGCTTGGAAGATCCGACCTCTGACTTTATCACAGGTTGGATCATTAAGGCATTTAGGACCATTCAGAGACACCATAAGAAGTTCACCTAGTTGAGAGTTCTGTTTGGATTAACAGACGTTCTATCGATTATTCCACGAAGCTGCGAGCCCGGAGACTTTCCTATTTTCCTGAAATCCAAGTTGGCATGGTAATACGAAGCCTCAGCTAGATAATAATCGTACTGCGCCATGTCTGGGGATCGTGTTGCGGCAAACAACGGAGGGTGCTCTGTTTTCTTCCGCGAACCGGGCTCCCGCCGCCGCGGGATTCGTATAATTAAATAATTAAGCAGTAAGCAGCCGAAGGCGTAGTCCCCCCCGCATGGCAGTTTACTTTCTAAGCTCGTTGGCGTTGCTCTGTGCTCTCGCAGATATGGGAATCCGTGTTGGCCCCGGGGGCATCGGGATTGTTGCAATCGCCATCCTTGGGATACGAATCTGGAGCACTTGGCTCCGTCAGTGGACATAGAGAACGCGACCAATCACCGCGGTCCATCAGCTGCGGACCGCTTGTCCAGTTTGGAGATCACGAAAAATTCATATTTTTCTTTCTACAAATTTCAAATTCAACGTTACACTCAAGGGAAGCTCCGAACCCTCCAAACCCATGCTCTGACATTTTGCGACAAACTATAGGGGGCTCCGGTTCGAGAGAACCGGCCTTTTGTTGCTAGCCTCTATACATAACGATGGAAATGGGTTGACAATCGGTTCACCCGGTACACGTGGTCCCCGGGGCACCGTGCCAGCGGCCAGGTATGCCGAGGAATTGGGAATCGTATTTTGCTATTCCTCGAATTGCGTTCTGTTGCAAGTCGCTCCGGTAACGACGCCTATTTTTTATGCCTCTCTGCGCGACGATTTCGTAAATTTTACCTGGCCGTTGCGGAGGGTTCTCGTAAAAATTTGCGCTAGGAATTCGTGTAATCGACACCGTTATTAAAGTCGTAAATTTTAGCGACACGACTGTCGGTAGGAGGGAGGAACCGTCTGTTTCCATCACTGTCAGTTTCGTACTGCAAATTCTGCTCGCACTTTTCTCTCTCGTCTTCGCTATCATTCGGCGATTTAAATATAATCGTACGAGTGATTAAATAAATACATGTTTCATTTGATTGGCTACGTAATTAAATAAATATCGTTTAGTTCTAGCCAACGCGCTTTTGTTGAAATCAAACTCTTTCCAATCGTAAGATTCGGTTCAAAGGCTGCTCTGGCACGATCGTTCTCCTATTTTTGTCACGGATTGCTATGGATCCACGATGAAACAACCGACACTGTGGAAAAACTAAGTCTGGATAAGTGGGTTTGATTGTCGGATCACCCGTTACGTTAGCCCGTGGGCGATCTACAGTTTGCGAATAATCAAGAAACGCGATCACCGAGGGTACAAGAAATCACATTCTGCCATTCGTCGCGATCGAGCACGATCGAGGTTCACGAGGACAAATTCAGCTGTCCGCCAGGCAGAAAAATGTCCAGGGAACGTATTGGAAACGATCGCCTCGACTTTTAGCTCCACGATCTCCTCAAGTACTTCTAATGACACGTGTGCGCCGCTCTACGGCGATTTATAGCATAATAATCTTCCCGTGAAGGAAATTGACAGGGCAGGGACCATTACCTCGACGAAACCGATTGAAAATGTCAACGAAGTAA